AAAATCTGACACAATCCAGTAAGGATTTACCCAAACGAAGGGCTGATACTACAGAATATCCCCAATGCAGAAAGCACACACACACACGGTATACACACTCCCATAGAAACATTATAACATGAATGATGTTTCTGCTGGGAAATGTTTTTTTTTTTTACTTAACACAGTTCAATTTGAGTGATATGGTGATAAGTTTATATCAAATTTTTTAAAAACATTATATATTTATTACATATTTATGAAATTGTATGAATATACATATGTTTAGGTTATAATCCACTGCGTGAGGAAAGTGAGTCACAGGCTGAGGAGAGTCAGTGGTCCGCTGCGTGAGGAAAGTGAGTCCGTGGCTGAGGAGAGTCAGTGGTCCGCTGCGTGAGGAAAGCGAGTCGCCGGCTGAGGAGAGTCAGTGGTCCGTCGTGTGAGGAAAGTGTGTATACAGATGCACCGCCGGCCTATCAGTGGTAAACTCAGTAGCTACTGGCAATTGTATAGTGAATTCCCGCGACAAGTCAGTCCTTTTTTTGGACCTTCCGGCCCGCCATAGTATGGGAACACTGCTCTGAAGTACCGATATCACTCACTCATTCGCTATTTCTTACAGAGTAGATAGCATATTTGGGAAAGGACGGAACAACGGTATTTATGCCAATACCGTGCGCCTAACGATGTCGCAGAAACTTCGTCACCTGCTGCTAGGGTTGCCAACCGTTCCGTATAATACGGAATCGTCCCGTATTTAGTGTCACAAGCTTCCAGTACACGGAGACAACAACAACACACAGATAATAAAAACAAGATGTGAATAAAATACACATATGTATAAATATAAATAAAGCACACACACACACACACACACAAAGGATAAATATGTACAGGTGTGCTATAGATAAAATACTGTAGAATATGAATAGAATAAAAAATAAAGTTGTAGGGATGTACTATGTAAAGTGATAAATAGTATAAGGTTATTGCACATATTTGTATTGCACAATGGGAGAACATTTAACTGTTCATGAGGTAGATTGCCTATAGCCTATATATATATACACTGCCGTTCAAAAGTTTGGGATCAGTAAGATTTTTAATGTTTTTTAAAGAGGTTCTTCTGCTCATCAAGCCTGCATTTATTTGATCAAAAATACAGAAAAAATGTAATTTTGTGAAATAGCCTATTATTGCAAATTGCAATTTAACAAAAAAATTTTATATTTGAATATACTTTAAAATATAATTTATTCCTGTGAAGCAAAGCTGAATATTCAGCATCATTATTCCAGATTTTAGTGTCACATGATCCTTCACAAATCATTCTAATCTTCTTCTTCTTTTTTTTTTTAAAGAAACTTTCAGAATACTTTTATTCAGCAAGGATGTGTTAAATAAAAAGTGATATTGTTAGAAAAGATTTCTATTTTGAATAAATTCTGTTCTTTTTAACTTTTTATTTTGTTTATGGAACACAGGTTCCAAAAAAATATTAACCAGAACAAAAGTTTCAACACTATAAAAAAAAAATAATATTTAACAATATTACAGTTTTTTCTGTATTTTTGATCAAATAAATGCAACATTGATGAGCATAAGAGACTCCATTTAAAAAAAACATTACAAATCTAAAAGATATACTTCTGTGTGTGTGTGTGTGTGTGTGTGTGTGTGTGTATATATATATATATATATAATAGGGCCGGGTGTGTATCCCTTATTCTGTCCCTTATTTTTCTATGAAAAAACCACGATTGTCCCTTATTTTCCTTTTCTGAATTTGGCAACCCTACCTGCTGCTTATCTTACATAATGTTGCTTTATAAAAGATTTTGAAGATATTAAAAATAACAGTATTTTATATCTATGTATATTTGTTGTAAATATGTACGTTTTCAGCTTTGTGGTTTCATGGAGAGTAAACATTTGTTCTGTTCTGTTTGGTTTCATGTGTAATATATATATATATATTCAAAATATTAAAGTGTATATAAAAGACACTACAAAAAAATCCAACAACAGTCAATACAGTCATCACATTTGAACATTTATGTATTTATTTACTTACTTAGGCTACTTACTTACTTGCTTAGGCTACTTACTTACTTATACTTGAGGTTAGGCCTACTTACTTACTTACCTATTTTCTTATTTTCTTCCAAGCTGTGGCTT